GCTCACGCAAGGACGCAAGAAAGTAAGCACAAGATGCCGAACACCCTTAGCAGGATGCAGCGCACCCTTCATGCGACTCGCCGAATATCTCACGGCGCTTCGCGCTTGGTGATGTGAGAGCCTGGTCCGGTGAGAACCCGGCGTGCTCCGTCCCGGCTTTGTAGGGATGCGAGGTCAATGGNCCCCTCCCCCCCCGAAAAGGCGTTCTTCCAAAAGCTGGAGGGAGGGGAATGGGGACACATCTTTGCCGAAGGAGCAATACGCCAGCCCTGGAGGTAGGCCGGCTCTGTCGTTTCCTCTTCGCCGGCTCATGCGCCCCCTGAACTTCACCAGCTGATAATCCCTAGGGATCAAAATGGGCGTGTGGTGATCAATCGTATGCGTGGAAATGTACGTGCCCCTGCTGGTTTCAGAAGTCACGAAGCGTAAGTTAAAGTGTGCAGCTCTGTGCAGTGATATTTACTATGCGTGAAACTCTGCCGAGGGCTTCCCGTGAGAAGCGCTTGGAAGAAGCACCCCGGGTTTCCGGGCCGGCTGCAACCAGAACCGCCGGGGTAAGTTATTTTCTACAGCAGTCGTCCCGTCTTTAAGGACACCAAAGTTTAGGACGCTCCCAGCTTTACAATCCGCCATTGTATCATGCTCCGGAGCATGGTGCCCCGCAGAACGCAAAAGAGACACCTGCGTGTTTTGAGGACGTTTGTTGTCCAGAAAAAAACATGCGTGTCGTTGAAGCCGTTGTACCCTTCCGCCGGAGATGTAAACCCGCAAGCTGGAGCACACACGCCCGTTCCTACCTAGCTTATTACCCACGTCCTCCTAAGATTGTCCATTCGGAACTCTGCATCTTTCCAGTGGACCGGTAGAGATCGCCGTCCCGCCGTCTCCTCCGGTATTGTTCATGGTTTTTGCACAGGTTCAGCAGGGGCGAACCTATCCTGGGGGACTTTAAGGCTGGGATAGGCCGGCTTCTGCTAAGGAGCAAGGTGTGTGGGTTTGGAAAATGCTGCCGCGGGGCGGGTAGAAGATACTGCTGAGGGGCCCGCCCGTTTCGGGACACACGAATTCATTTCCTGCGTCCATTCCGTGGCGCGATTTCCGATCGCGCTAGCTACTCCCCACCGAACACGCCACATTTGCCTCTATCCTCTTGCGGTGTTTCGGTCTCTCAGTCCACGGGCGTTGAGCTGCTAGCGCATACATAGCGTCTACCTTCAAACAGCAACAAATGCTTGTTTAGTTGGGGAAGCAGTTACACCACCACACGTTGGTCTCCGGAACTGTTCCGGACCGGCTCGTTTCGGCCGCGACTCTGCATACCGTGGAGGACATGTCATTTTTGAAACCGTCGAACCGGTATGGAGCGTGGCAGTCATGTCGGTAGGGCAAGGGCACACCCCTCCCACTCCTCCATCCCCTCAACTGGTACGGACGTGTGGGATAATACCCTTTGGTGGTAACCATATGCCCTTTCGGTCGAACTTCATCGCTGGTCTGTGTGACCGGGAGATTTATGCCAAACACAACCGAACCTCTTGGGGACGGTGGCCTTGCCAGACCTGCCGCCGTCTTGAAGCGGCTGCGATCCGCACCAAGATGTGTTTTCTCAGCATGGGAATTCACTTGCACCTTTCGCGCCAGCAGTTCTCTCCCGCGTGGGCGATGGTAGTGAGGTCACTCGGTCCCCGCGTCGTTGCTTGTTGACCCCGACGTGTCAGGACCCGCCGCTGGTTCTCCCCATGTACCACATCGGCATGCACCAGATCGCATCGGAGGCGCCCACCCACAAGCGCGGCCGGGGGAAGCTGTTGAAGATCATGCCCAACTTTGGTGCGCTTTTTCGCCGCTGTCGTGTCGGGGGGGGGGCTAGGAGGGGGTGGTGTACTCATAGTCGTGCATGCCGTAGTCGTTAGACCATTGACCTCGCATCCCTACAAAGCCGGGACGGAGCACGCCGGGTTCTCACCGGACCAGGCTCTCACATCACCAAGCGCGAAGCGCCGTGAGATATTCGGCGAGTCGCATGAAGGGTGCGCTGCATCCTGCTAAGGGTGTTCGGCATCTTGTGCTTACTTCCTTGCGTACGGATGACAGCTGCGTATGAATTAATTTATTTTCTGGTGCTTTCACTTCCAGAGACAGTTGTAAGCACTGTGTAACTGCCTCGAGGGTGCTTGACCATTTTAACACAACGTGGTGCGATCATGCCCCTTGCGCGGAGTGAGGGTTCTCCACCCCGCACAACATGATCTACTCGACCACCACTATGGTAACCGCCAAAAAAAAAGTAGAGGTAAAAAAAACGGTAACCTGGTTGCCGAGTTCACGACGTGAATTGACTTGTTTTACAACGTCGTTGCCAAGCGACGAAAACCCAACCCCGATGGCAAGCACCAGGACGGAGGGGGGGTAGATCGGGTCCGTTTTCGATGAAATTTCCGGTCGCGCTCGCCACCTCAGTTACAGGCCTTGGTGGTCTTTTCGAAGCGGCAGACGTTTTCTCCGTGTATCCCCTCGGTGTTTTGTTTGTCTGAAACGCGTCGTGGCGGAAAACACCTGTTGTGGCGCCCGCGCTGCAACAATCGAATCTCCGCTTTCGCAGGGAGAACGGTTCGAGTTTACGTCGGAGAACCCATTGACGTCGCCCCAATCATCGAGAAATGCCGGGTGAGACGCAGAGACGGAGGACTTTGCAGGAACAATGCTGTTGCTTTTTTTATACGGTATAGTACTGTGTCATCTGACTACACATGCTGACGGAGAGAAGGAAAACTAATAGGGGAGGGAATCAGGGTGCTGTGGGGTTTTATATATTGTATCAGAGCGACGCTCTGCATAACCTCCTAAGTTTGGTCAGAGCTCATGCAAACGCAGAGAGCAGTTTACACAACGACCTGCGGGCCCCAGCGTGTAGCCAACTGAGTACGTTTTACCTCGTATTTCACACAGCTCCATTCCTGTCTCATCGACCGTGCTGAAGCGCAAACCCTCCCCGTCGATGTCCTCACCTTTGACTTGTCGTTTGTTGCGCGGGTGCAATTTTGTTCCGTGTGTCCACCCGCTGCCCCCCCCCCCCCCCCCCCCCCCCCCCCCCCCCCCCCCCCCCC